GTGCTATGGAAGAAGATCAGGGCCACCAGGAAAAGAAAAAGTAGGCACATCGTTTGTCTTTTCTAGAATTCTGTAAAAGGAAAATACAAGATTATTTCTTTTCACTGCTCGTCTGCGATTGGTCCCAGCTTAAAAACATGTTTAAAAATTCATAAACATTTGAAACTGTCTCCACTTTACTTCTTATGGGGCCCAGTGGCATTCAGCTACCTGAGATAACAATAAGTCTGTTTATGGTTTCATTCCACGGGAGCAGGTGTGTCAACATTCTTCATTCTTCAGTTCACACGAGGTCCAGGACTGAACGCTGTGCACAGAGTGCAGGTACCATTACAGCTCCGTGCAGTGAAGGAAACAGCAAATCCACTCGTGTTTACAGGCAGTAATCAGGATATGTGCGTGGCTGGGTCAGCAGTTAACAGTTATCAGTATTTAGCAGCATCTCCTACACTCTGTTCAGACTAAACACTGTCCAGTGTGTGATTCATACACCTCAGTGAGGTCAGCGTTTCCCCTTACACTGTGACCATGTGACCTCACATAATCATAGGTCTACACTGTGGTATTGTAGGGGAATTAAGCTACCCCGCAGTTGTTTTACAGCCACGTTGACCTTGTGCGCTGAATAGCTCCGCATGCTCCTCCCAAACCCTTAAAGCAGTGGAGTAAGTGTAGCTGCAGGCGGGCGACTGTTGACACCATAACTGCAGAGTTTCAGCTTTGCTGCCTGCTTGTATTAAAGTCTCCTAAACGCTGAAAGAAGCTCACAGCTGCACATGTACTGTGTCTTATTCTGGGACTGAAGATGAGCTTAACAGGGAACTGATCTCATGCTTTGTGTGTCACAAGCTCAAGCTCTCAGTTTTCTCATCTTTTTTTTGTCATATTACACTAGTGGACGGGCATTGGTCTTTTCACATAGCTGAGTAATTATAGCTGCTCTGAGCTGAGCTGCCTTGCTCTGTGGCACAGTGTGCTGCAGGTGGGACGTGGAAGCAGCAACCAAACCGTGTGTTTGGTTGTTACCAGGATTTCTGAGTCGAGCTGCGACATGTTTCCTTGTAGATTATGTGATTGAGGATTTTACGGTCGGGGTAATGATTCACAGAGGACAAACGTCTTGCTGTAAACTCAAATCCAGATTGTTGCTGAATGATTAACCACGGAAGCTGAAATCAGACCGTGCAGTAAGAAGATTTCCTCAGATAGACCGTCTTTAGGTGACTCTGGGTGAGCGAGCATTCCCCTGCTGAGGCTCCTGACCCCTGCCTGCCTGAGGATTAATCCAACATGACATTATGTTGTGTTGTCATATATTGAAGCAGAAGGAGAAACAATTGCTGGGGATTCTGTGGGATTAGAGTTTAGGTGTTATGTCATCAGTCACTCTGACAGTTGCTATAATGCTCGACTCTTGGCGAGGCCGAGCTTGTGGTTCTTTCACTCACCTGTGCATAAGCAGAGCTCTCCCTCTACAGCACAACACAGTGTTATTGGGATCATCTTGTTGTTTGAGTGGAAATAACTTGACTGCTTCACCAGTTAACTTATGTCACCAACAAGTCATCAGGGTGGTTAACCTGCCCGGTGTAGCCTGGTGGCCTTGGTTGCTTCAGATCAGCTTTGCTGTCAGTAAAGTGTGTCATTGGCGACACGGAGCGGCTACTATTTGCATTCTGGACACAGATGTTTTCAGAGATGAGCGCCTCTCGCTGCTTCCTGTGACATTCTCTGCGTGATCAGACGAGCTGTCTCGGTGGTCGTGGGCAGCGTCGTCCTGTTTCATGCTGAAGAATAATCTCAAACCAGTTTCAGCATCTCCATCCATCCTGTTCCGTTTATCCTGATCAGAGTCACGCGGCTGGAGCCGATCCCAGCTGTCACGGGGCGTGAGGAAGGGTACGCCCAGTTTGTCGGACACAGCGAGGCAATTTCAAATCCCCAATCAACCTAACCCACTGACGGTCTTTGGACTGTGGGAGGAGTTTGCACAGACTTTCATACAGTCAGACTGTATGAAAGAGACCATAAAGGTTAAACGTGTGTGTTTGAGGTCAACTGAAAAGTCTCGTATTTCCTCGTCTAGAAATCATAAAGCCTCAAAGCCTTGCAGACCTACAATAAACAGCACCTGAAAGGCTGGTGTGTCCTTTGACCTTTGACCTCCCTGCTCTTATATCTGGCCTTCCTCCTCCTCACCTTCAGATAACCCTCACAGATGGGGCATTAATAGAAAGCCCAGGATGTCCTCTTGTTGTTACAGCAGGATACACGTGATGCTATAGATTGGATAAATGATGCTCGGTGTGGAGGTCTCAAACTCATTTCCTCAGGAGGGTAAACAGCAGTCGAGCTGATGCTGTGTCTACTTTGAAGAAAGAACAATGTTATGAGGAAATGGAAGTCGTTGCCTCGTTCCTGCTTCCTTGGAGCTGCTCATGTTCCTCGTGTTGCTGCTAGATTGGCCTTTGTGTTCATGTCAGGCTGTATTATTGTTTATATTCAGTAGAGGAGTGTGGAAGCAGACTGTGAGGAGGCTTAACCTTCAGCTCAGCTGACACACACAGGCTTACAGCACAGACTGTATATAAAGGAGACTTAGCAAGACACACACACACACTCAAGCATATGTTGGCAGACAACACAATAGAAGCTGCCCTTTCCATGGATTTCCTTCCTTTGTTGAATCCAGATTATTTCCGAGTGGCCGCACCAGCAGGAGGTGAAAACAGCAGCTCAGCTCCAGCTCGGGGACGTTTGCTCAGGTCAAAAAGCCCCAAAATCTTATGAGTTTTTAATCCCAGGGTGGTATTCTGTCCCACTGCAGGAGCTGGGCTAATGAAAAGCCTGTCCTCCTGTGGTTATGTGGAAATGGAAGCAGTTGAAGGCCAGGCAGGCAGCGAACAAAGACGTACGGTATCCCATCCTGCAGTGAATCCAATGACATTGTAGGCTGGGTGGCACAGATCACTCGGCTAACCGTGCAGCTGGTGCAAATGACACACTGTATACTAAACACACAGATGATGTGGGGTTAAATATGGAAACTGGGGCAACGTTTGTGACCAGCATGGCTTTGAGGTGGAGGCAGCAGCGTGTTTGCGACACACCCTGGTCTGTGCCGGGGACTCGTACGGCTGCTGGTGCAGATGAATACGCCTGTGAGAGTTTGTTTACGCTCCCAAACGTGAAAGCTGCTTGTCATTCATGACAGTCGCAGTTTAAGCCGCGATCACGTTTTCTGTGTTTCTCGCTGATTGTGCGAGGACCTCTTTTTTCAACAGGCACCACATGTTGCTTCTGTAAATATAAAAATATCAGACGTCACATGTCAGGCTGTGCTTCAGCTCCAGCTCCTGCTGTTTAGTTCTTAAATACCCCGAGTATGGCGGGTCGAGCGTGCTGAGGCACAGACAAAGGTACTCGCATGAATGCGCGTGTGAATGGATGAATCAGGCTTTTATAAGGAAGCACCCACCTTACCTTCAGTCAAAACTTCATGGCTCAAAGGTGATTCTGTTGAATCTCTCAGTAACCTTGAGATGAACCTGTACCCACCAGTATGTGAAAATATAAGAACCCCAAATGAGTCTAAAGAGTGCAAGAGAATTGTTCCTAATTGTCATTAAAGGCTGCCAAACTACAAATCAACAGTTCTTCTCCCCAGTTATGTGACTGGCAGCGTTTCTGGGGAGGATACCTGTACCTGCTCTTTGTGCAGTCAATAAGAAGATCATCCAGTAGATGGGGCTAGAGAGTTGAGTTGGTGCTGGCCTGCTGTGTTTGCACTGCAGATGTGTTGCATGCATGGACTAATGATATTTATTCATGTGTGGATACGAGTTTAGTTAGCACACCCAACGTAGAACATATATTAAGGCAATGCAGGCTGGATGTTGTAATGCCCTCGACCCTGACCGTGGACCCAGTGTTTTGGACACAGTGGACCTGATGATGAGAGTGTGGAGACAGATTAATGTGTCTGAGCAGCAGAGAAAGGCTGGCTGCTTCTGTGGCCAAGATAATCTGGCATTATAGCTGGAAGATGACACAGCAGGACTCTGCAGATTCCCTAGGTGCCCATTGGTCAGCTGAACTCATGTGTAGGCACAGACTGTGCTTCTGTCTGGTTCCAGCTCATCGGTTTCATTCAAACACCCTGATCTCGTTTGAAACTCCGCCCCCTTGTGGCAGATGGAGTTTTTATCAGTGGAAAAGTTTTCTTCTGTGTCGTTTCCCTTCGAGCACAGGAGCGGTCAGGTTTAGTCCTTGCTGGTGGTGCTTTAGCAGGGGGAATGCCAGCTAACGCAGGTCTTTTGGCTACGCCTGTCCTACCTCAGGATACAATTCTGAAGCCCAGTTCAGTTCACGCCAAATGTTTTTCCTCTGATCACACCAAGCAAGCATGACTTCCTGAGTAAATGATCCAGTGGGCTGGAACGGAGTTTTTCTAACCTCCTTTGACCACTTCTCCTATCATTTCCATTTTTCACTTTCTTCCTCTTTCTGTCCGCTCGCTTTGTCTTCATATACCTGCAGAGGTTCGCAGACAAAATCCAGGATTCAGACTCCGTGTTTGTAAATTAACCTGCAGGTGGGACTAGTAATCCCGGTGCTTCCCTTAATCACCACATTTAAAGAGGAGTGTTTTAAAGGTGCAAAGCTAGAGTGATGACATCATGCTTATGAGTGTGCCAGGACTGTGTTTTACAAACAGGTTAGTAGCTCAGCTCGTACCCTGAGCTGCAGGCAGTGACGAGCTGCTCGGGGCAATGATCCCATGTCTAATTACACCCGAGCATCTTTACTGATCACATAATGCTGATAAACCTGTCATAGTTGGTTGGATGGTTCAAGCTGCAGATACAAATCTGCTGGAAGTAAAAGGCCGATTGACTTGGTGACGATCTTCACTTTAGATGAAATTATGTTTCAAGTGAATCTGTACCAGGAACAAAACACAGGGACTCTTGTTTATTCGTGCGTCTTTCTGTCTGCAGCCATGGCGGAGTTAGACTTGAGTCTGAGCGATGCGCTGACGGACAGCGTTCCCCAGCCCGGCCCGGAGAACATGGTGCACCGGGACTTTGTGGCTGAGCTGGAGGCGGAGCACTTTGACGATAAGGTCGGAGAGACGGTGGGAAAGACGGACTACATCCCGCTGCTGGACAACGATGACACCAGGGCAGGTGAGATGAACGTGATGTCGTCAGTATCGTATGGGCAAACACATGCAGGGGAACAGCATGTTTATCTGGATCCATCGATCTAAACGCAGCATTCATTCTTCTTTTACCTCCTAAGAAAAATATCTTTCACGTAGCTTCTGATTAGCAGCTGGTTAAGAAGGATTCCTGCTGTCACAGTGTGCACTGTGGGTTTGTCAGGGGGATGCTGTGGCTAGCAGGACGGATGTTGTAAAAGATGTTCACATGCAACAACATGCAACATGCATGCTCTGCAGCGCTGAGGCAAACTGCTCAATAACGCTCTGTAGTTTGGTTACTTCAACTCATATTTGATGCATTGTTGATAAAATCATTAGAGGTGGACCAAGAATAGATGAAAGAAACGACAGATCAGCCGATATTCTTCATAAATATTCTGAAAAGATTTAGCAGCTGTAAACAAAGTACAATAATGAAACGGTAATACAGCGTACAGTTATACTCCTCTGCCCACAGACTATAACACTGTGTAACATTAAAGCAGAGAGGGTGTGCCTTTGACCTGAACTCCAGCTGCTCCTGTATGACTGATGGATGCAGGCGCTGCTGCACGCTGGCTGCCATCTTGGATCTGCTCGGGTGTCGTTCACCCACAGGGCAGACAGTAGCCAGAAGATACGCAGAGCAGCAGTCAGTGCTTTGAACATTTGGCTGGTGAAATGTGGGGATGACACAGGAAACTGTATTTTTATTGTGAGCTGTCAGTAAATGCTCTGACTGTGTCAGGGAGGAAGTGAGACAGCTGGTTAGAAGTATGCAGAAGAAGGAGAAGGAGAAGAAGAAGAAGAAGTGTCCTTGAGCAACTTGCTTGGCTCCAGAAAGCTTCTAAAATAAGTGTGGCACATGTGATCAGATGCCTTTGGGTCATTAGCCGCGGGCGACGTGTTGAAGCTCCTGGGTGCGGTGCATTTGTTGTCGTGAGGAGTTTCACGTTACCCTTTGGCTGAGTTTGAGTTTGCAGGAATCAGAAGGAATTCCAAAGTTCGAGGACTAATGGCAGCAGCTCCGAGACAAACACCACAGCTATATTAGAATAAGGAAGCTGTCAAGAGCTGCCAGTGTTGTTTCCTGTCAGAGCTTTAAGAAAGCAGTAAGTGAATATCAGCTGTTGTCCCAAACTGACCTCTGTGGCGAGACGACATTAAGCTGCTGTCTGCAGTTTGAACTGTGGCTGAGAAGGATGCAAAAGTACACGATCTAATAAAGAGGTCAGCTCCAGTGCTGACAAACAGTAGATGGATCGAATAAAAAAGAAGTGACGGTTAGCCGAGAATGACTCAGCTCTCGGGCCTGTTTTGGTTAGCCAGACACTTCGGTCAGACAGTCAGACTGTGTGTGGGCACTCGTCAGTGACAGCCGGCTGCAGGACGGGCCGTGGGTGGTGTTGCCAGTGATCAACTGTGGCACGCTGTGTGCATTTGGACAAACGCACACATGCTGACACGCCGAGTGCCAAACAGCAGGGCGAGGCAGTCCGCGAGTCATTGTCCTCTGTCAGCATGACAGGGAGATGGAGGTGGCGTACATTTGTTGTTGTTTTCCCCCCTCTGTGAGTTATTGTTTCAGAGCCCCGGTGCTCCAGTAATGTGCAGTGCTGCACTCGTGCACTTCATCCGTCGTATTTGACTTTTATCTGTATGTTTTTGTGCACGCCTGTCCTTTCCGTGCTCGGTGGTTGAATGCATCAGCGCGTGTTTATGTACGTACGGCATGCACCGGTTTGCATCCTGCTGTTTACGTGCCCTTGCTTGCATCGTTGTGATAGAAATCATGCCAGCGCTGCATCGTTTAGCACGATTAGTCGAGTAAGACTTGTATCTTTATGAAAAACTGAACATTTCTGGGCGTGAAAAACCTCCCATGTGCACAGCTGACCAATCAGACCATTACAAAGTGGCGAAGAAGAACAGAGCTATGGGGCATTTATTCACAAGTTGTTATTATTAAAGGTTAGATAAATAGGAGCTTAGTGTGAATAGAAGGGCAACAATAAAACAAATAATACACAGTTATGAGTAACTTCAAAAACATAA